GTCATGTTTTGTTGTGACATTATTTGAGGTACTTGTTGGTATAATGCATGTGTACCTGCTTTCTTAGTTACCTTTATACCTTTATTCTTTCTTAGTTACCTTTAGTTCTAACATATCTATTCACTAATAATGGTCGCTTATCAATTTTCAAAAGACATTTTGCACCCAAAAGGTCATTTTTCATTTTATTCTTTTTTTACTTCATTTCATTATTTGAATTCCACTGGAAGCAACTCACACTCCAATAATCAAAACCCTTCTCTTCTTTTCCAAATGAGTGGCAGAGGGAATCCTTTGCATTTATATTTGCTCTATTGTGAGATGCAAGTCCTTGAAATTCAGAACCAACCTTTGATTGATTCTGTATTGTGCTAGGATCGTCAATTTAAGATTTACAGTTTAGGATTATGCAAGTTGGTTTCTACCTTACAAGAGGGTGTGCGTGCTCTGTAGATCTTGGTGGCTCAGAAGAGTATTTGTGAGGAATTTTTTTGTGAAGTGCACAATGCACAATCTGTTTCTTTGTTTCACCAACCCATTCTTTCTCATTGTTCATAGCATTTTGTTTTTCCCAGGTGAACACTAGGGGACAGAAGATTGTTGATGGGACCACACAATATCTTCCTGAAGAAATCATCAGAAACATTCTCAAACGACTTCCAGTAAAATCCCTAATGCGATTTCAATGTGTATGCAAACAATGGAAAAATTTCATCAAGGCCCCGTCTTTCATTGCTGACCACCTCTGCCACTCAACTCATCACAACCCCTCTCTTCTTTTCCAACGGAGTGGCAGTGACAAGGGTCTTCCTTTCGACTTATGCTTGCTCCACTGCGAGAAGCAACTCCATGAAGTTCAGAACATTCCTTTTGGGTCCTCGGTTCATGCTGAGATCGTTGGTTCCAGCAATGGCTTGCTTTGTGTCAGATGTTCTAATGATGGAGTTCATTCGCTTTTCTTGTGGAATCCAGCAACTAGAAGGATCAGACAGGTGCACAGCACTGTTTATGATTTTGAGGGTAGAATCTATGTAGGATATGGGTTCAGTCCAATTGTTAGTGACTACAAGATATTGAGAGCTTATGTTCCTGAAGATGAGGATGAGGTTAATCGAGTGGAAGTCTATTCTTTGAGCACACAGAGATGGAAGGAAATAAAATTTGAGAACTTAAAGGGTGTAAATCTTAATTCTGATACTGTCACTGCTAATGGAGCTATGTTTTGGTATGATATGGAGGAGGATTTGGTCGTTTCATTTGACATAGCAATGGAAGCCTTTACATTGATACCAATGCCTCCTTTAGACAAAAGTCATAAGTATTCAGGCTATAAGCTTACTGTATATGAAAACAAACTTGCTGTGATTTCTCACTTTCTAGAGGGTGTATCTTTCACAACTGATTCTTACTATATTGATTTGTGGGTGGTGGAGGAAGGTATCGGTGTACCTAAAGAGAGATGGAGTTGGACTAAGAAGTATTCTCTAATCACCTTTACAGACTCGGAGCATCCATCAGGTATTTGGAGGATAGATCCGTTATGTATTTGGAGGGATGAACTTGTCTGCAATGGTAATGAAATGTCTGGAATTGTAAGTAAAACTGAATGTGAAGAGAACATTGAAGTGAATGAAATGTTTGGAACCTTTGGGGAAACTGAATGGGAAGAGAACATTAATGAAACGTTTGGAATCTTTGATGAAACTGAATCTGAAGAGAACACTGAAGTGTTAACTGTTCTATGTCTGTCAAATCTTAGAACTAACGAATTGAGGAAGATAGCTACTGGCAGATGTAGCAATGAATTTTCAGTTGTTTTCGATCATGCAGAAAGCCTTCTACCAATTGACAGCATTGGCATTCGAGAGGTTTGATCCTAAATCTTAATTATTACCTTGTAGATTTATTTTGTCTAAGCACTTGTGGTTGAAATGAACCCTTTATAGTTTAAATCATTTTGAAGCTATAATTCTCATTGACCTCAATCGATATTATCTAGAATGATGAATGCTTTTATTTAGTTCCCGATGTTTTTAACTTTATTTAAGGCATGTGTATGATACTAAGTTGTTCAGTTTTCTTTCAACCATGGATATATAATACATTAGTTGCTGGTGCATGGATTATGTGGGACTTATTGTGCATCGTTTGACAGGAAAGCAAAATAAGTTTGTGGCGTTTTCATTTCATTTCTAGTGGAAAAACTTATTCAAATAAACTGGCTTTTGTGCAAATAGTTTTCCACTTTACACGAGAGCCTGTATGTTCTGTGGATTATTATTGGAGGATGAGAATGCTAATTGCTAAGAGCTTGCTGTGAGGTTCTCAATACGAAGTCTCTGATATCTCATGCTAGTCCTTTCATTCTCGTTAGGACCCTAATGCATGAGTGGATGAAAGGTGAGGTTAAAATATATTAACTCATGTGCTTGCCCATAGAAAGAAAATTGGAAAAATCATGTGTTGATGGATGAGACTACGCTAAAATTTTCTACAGAAACGCAACAGAATCAATTTCCAACTAAAAGGTGTGACTATCACATGAAGCTTTTGCATGTGCTTTTGTTTGTTGCTCCATCTAGACAAAAGTCTATGGCATATTCTTGTTCGAGAGTCTGGAGCAACCATAATCTAACATTTACAGCAAGTTCGATGAAGATAATCATTTCATGAGGTAATATTGCTCAGTTATTGAAATTTATTAAAAATTAAAAAGGATGAAAGAGTGCCGTGTTGAACACTGAAAGCTTATAGTTCTACCATGGTTATCTTCCTTGCTAATTATATGGTGAGACAGAGTGGGGGTAGTAATTTGCCGTCTTCCAGTAATGATATCAAGCAAACATAAAGATAACTAGTATTGTCATGATAACATCAGACATTTTGGGATTTAAACACCAGTTTTTTTTTTTTTTTGGGTAATTGTTTTCTCTCATCATTTCAGGTACACCAGACCTAATTTTGTCACATTCCTACGAGAATGTCCATTTTCCCTCAAGCGCTATGAAGACTTCAATGGATGACCAGGTCTTTTGCCCCACAATGTTACTTTATTTTTAGATATTTCGAGAAGAATTCTAAGATCCCTCACAGGTTTCAGTTGCGCAAAGCTTGGATAAGATCTTATCAATATGCCATCTTTCATCAAGTATTAACTGCTTGTCTTCCTTATAAACTTGACTCTCGGTTTACCTAGAGGGATACATTCTTCAGATATCGTGGTTTGATTGAATGGAGATCCTTATATTTGTGAGGATTCCACTTTGCTACGATCAGTTTGTTTTGTGTATCTCACAGCTTATTTTCAAATGAATAAATAGCAACAGCTAGGTATATCACATGTCAAAACACGAAAAAAATGAAAGAAAAGAAAAAAAGAAAAAAGAAGTGAAAAAAGGGAAAATCGCATATATAAAAAGGAATTAACTTTCAGCACTGACATTTAAAAAGAAAAAAAAAAAAGAAAACAGAATGGAAAAGAAAAGATTGTTGACCTGCAAAACATGCATTAGCTAAATCTTTTCATATGAATCTTGAATATTAGTTATGGGTGTGGGTAGAGAATTATACATGAGTTATTCATATCGCTTGCCATATTTAAGCGTGAAGGTAAGAAAAATCATCGAAGTCACTCCTCCTAGAAAGATAAATGAATGCATAAAACTAAAGTTGCGTGTTTATGGCTTGAACAGAGAGCAGGCCATATCTAATTAATATGGCTGCCACCAGCAAATTGATACCACCCAAGAACATTGTAGTGTAGGCCTTAAAATAACTTCTACGTCAACTTTCTAGTAGTAATGTCTCCCTCTTTTACTCTGTGCAACCTATGGCTTCTCTCATATTTTCCTATTTAAATTAAAATTTGAGTAATTTAAATTTAATATTTTACAAAATATATTTTTATTACATTTGGATTTAATATACCTATTTGTATCCAGTCAAGATTTAAGAATTAAATTTTGATTGAGCCAAAGTTTAAGGGTGTGTTTGGTGGACGGGAGGGGAGGGGAGGGGAGCCCCTCCCCTTATTTGGTTAAAAATTTTGGAGGGGAGGGGACAGGGGAGCTAAAATGTCCCCTCCCCTCCCCCATTTTGGCTCCCCTTCAAATTGGGGGTTTTTGGAGGGGAGTCAAAATTTTGGACCATTATGCCCTTATGGTTTTTTAATATTCCACTCTACCCATAAAATATATTATTATAATATTTTATTTCAAATAAAAAATATTATCCTAAGTAAAAAATAAAAAATATATACATTATTATAATTAAAAATATATTATAAAATTATTTAACAATAAAAAATTATTTAAATAAAAAATTATAATATATCAAATTAATTGTTTTTTATAAATATATTTTTATTAAATATATTTTAAAGCTGGAAAAAAAGATAGCCTAAAGAAAATAAAATTTCATTTTTCTTAGAGCATATAAAATTTGTTAATTTGATTATTTTAAATATATTATTATATTAATTAGAATAAAAAATTACTATACCAATTTTTTAATACACATATTAACATGATAAGACTGAATTTTTATTAAATTATAATTTAAATTAAGATGTAAATTAATTTATATATAATCAATAAAAAACATAAACTAATATGTAAGGGTAAAATGGTAAATTGATTATTACTATCCCTTCCCTCCCCTCCTTGAACCAAACAAGGGATCATTAAATACCCTCCCCTCCCCTCCTTTTTAATCAAACCAAACAGGTGAAGATAAAACCTCCTCCCCTCCTCCCCTACCCCTCCCTCCCCTCCCTCCCCTTCCCTCTCCTCAAACAAACAGACCCTAAAGCAACTTTAAAATATGTGTGTCATATCAAAATTGGACAATAAGGCCAACGCAACTAAAAATTATCAATGCTAGATTATTTAGAAAATTTTAATATTAAAATATCACATTTTTTAGATTAAATTGAAATTGAATTTATATTTCAAATTTGCCAATCCTCTTTCCTTGTCTCTCGCTGGGCTTCCCGCTGCTCTCCAATGGATAGCTTAGCACTTCTGCCACTTCACTCGCCCTCAACCTCGTTCTCTCGTTCTTCCCCTCCCACTTCCTTCCTCCGTCATCGTTCTGTTCCGCGACCTCCAAATTCCCCTTCAATCCCATCTCTCAGATCAACTGTTTATCCTTTCGCCTTCTTTCCCTCCAAAACTTCTTCCACCTTAAATCCTCTCGCTGAACTTCGCATTGCAAATCACCCAATTCAAGCTTCTTCGTCGTCATCTTCTCCGGCATCACCATCATCCTCACCCCCTGCTGGTCAAGGTGCCAAACCTTTGCCCTTTTTGATCTCCATTTCTATTGGTCTCATCGTTCGCTTCTTAGTTCCTAAGCCCGTTGAAGTTACCCCTCAAGCGTGGCAATTGCTCTCGATTTTTCTCTCGACTATTGCGGGTCTTATTCTCAGTCCGTTGCCAGTGGGTGCTTGGGCTTTTATAGGTTTAACAACGTCCATTGTGACAAAAACACTGAGTTTTTCCGCGGCTTTTAACGCGTTCACTCACGAGATTATTTGGTTGATTGTGATTTCCTTTTTCTTCGCTCGTGGGTTTGTGAAAACTGGGTTGGGTGATAGGATTGCAGCTTACTTCGTGAAGTGGTTGGGAAAGAGTACTCTGGGGCTGTCTTATGGTTTGACTTTTAGCGAAGTGTTTATTGCACCGGCGTTGCCCAGCACCACCGCGAGGGCCGGTGGCGTCTTCTTGCCGATTATCAAGTCACTGTCGCTCTCAGCTGGGAGTGAACCCAATGATCCTACTTCCAGAAAGCTGGGATCTTATCTTATCCTGACGCAATTTCATGTTGGTTTTCTTTTTCCGTCCTATTTAATTAACTTTCATGCTTGATTAATACGAACAAGTATGGAAATGATGCTTGACGATGACGAAAAGTGTTCGTTTGAAATGGTTCTAAGCCGCAGTGGCAATCATTGCCGGCACATGTGGAGAAGTATAGCAATGGCAGCTGTGGACTGTAATATAAAGCTTTGCTTCCTAACGATACAAAGTTGACTTAATTTTGAAATACATTAGGCATACCAAACCTTAAGTGGTATATGCAGTTTGGTTGAAACGTGCGGCCTATTGACAATGCTTTATGTGATTATAAGCTTTTTCTCAGTCAGTTATCTTTGCTAATAAACAGATTGAGAACTTATACTCCCTCCATTTCTATACATAAACTTCACTTTTTGGAGGGGTCTGGTGTAAAATACAAGTTTCATTCTTGAATTTGTCTAAGCATTTATTACTTTTTCCTATTTTTCCTTTAATTGACTGTATTTAGTACTCCCCTCTCTCTCATTTATATTACCTCGATATATTCTCTTTCATCATTTTTTTCATTGGTTGCCTCTCTCATTTACTCTTTTAATAAATAAGGGCAAATTTGGAAAAAAATTACATTTCTGACTTATTTATTATTTCTAACTACCTTTAATTGCTAGTTCGTTAAGTGTGATTTGGTTATTTGAAACTCATATATAGGACTGGAGGGAGTATTTTCAGCCTGGTAATTTACTACTGTCTAGCCTTTTCCATGACGGAACTGAAACCATGAGCTGTCCTTCTGCAGTTGTTTATGCAGAGATTGAATTCCAAAGTATTTTTTCTGCGTATATTCTATCATTTTGAAATTGCCTAAAATCCTAAGGACCACAAGATAAACTTCTCAAAAATCTCTCATGGAATTTTCTCCATTTCGAAAATACCTTTAGGCTAACTCAGATCATGAGAAGGGATATACTTTTGCTATTGTGCCCAGCTGATGCCATCTGAAAGCTAACTACTCTTATGCATTATGCGATAAGTATAAGCCTCTTCCTTATTTGTGCTGTAGGTTTTGATGTGCCTCTCAGGCTTAAAGGCTATAAACCCGCAGTACATTATGATTTGCCTGTTTAAAGGAAAATTTGCTTCCGGAGACATATTTTAGAAATTAGAAGATGTGACATAAGAAAAGAGAGGGAACATAAGAAATTTAAATTGAATGGGAAGAATGGTAAGTGTTGGACTTGGATGTCAATTATCTGTACAGAAAATTTCAACTATTAATTAGTTATATTCTGAAGAACGTCTGGGTATTATTGAGTAAAGGATGATGGAATCTGTGATTCAGCTAATCATTAATTGAGAACAGACTATAAATTTCATTTTTCTTTTCTGATTTAGCTGTTGTGAGACAACATGAGAAATTTCTTGGACATTATTGATTGGGTGTCTGCTTTACCTTATTTCAAAATGTGTGTTCTTTTCCCTTTTAAAATGGCATCTTCTTTCCAAGTGGCATGGCATTTCTGCAGTTAATATGGCTATTGTAATTATGAGCTTTTGGCACCGGTCATTGTAAACGCTGATGTTGTAGGAGTCTTTGCTGTATGTGTGTTACTTCTTATTTGAGATCGACCATCATTTGATGATGAAGTGACTTGTGCACTTGTGACAGTCTGCTGGTCATTCTAGTGCTCTTTTCCTAACTGCTTCTGCTCAAAACCTGCTCTGTCTTAAATTAGCAGAGGAGCTTGGTGTGATAATTGCAGATCCATGGATTACATGGTTTAAAGTGGCTAGTTTACCTGCATTGATTTCTCTTCTTGCCACGCCATTGATTTTATACAAACTTTATCCACCTCAAATGAAAGACACACCAGAGGCGCCAGCCATGGCTGCAGTCAAGCTGGAAAGTGTGGGTCCTGTCACTCGAAATGAATGGATTATGATTGGTACAATGCTGCTTGCAGTGTCTTTGTGGATATTTGGGTATGTCTGATATCTTATTTCAAATCATTTGAAAATTTATCTGTTATTTCAATTCATCGTATCAATAGTTTTCTTGTTATGATACTTTATATGCATGATCAATATGATAATTTTTACTATTCTACTGTTAAACCCAAATAGATGGATTTCATATTTTATGAGAATGTATTCGACAGTATACCATTTGATGTCTACCTATACATTACCTAATCCCTGTATTCATGTTTCTAGTAATGTGAAACATGTTGCATGCGCACGTAATCGTTCTCTTATAATGAAAGTTCTTGCAATGGAATTCTATGCGATCGATATTTCTTAATCCTGCAGAGAGACTCTCAGTATACCAAGTGCTGTAGCTGCAATGATTGGCTTATCAGTACTCCTTGTACTGGGAGTCCTTGATTGGAATGATTGCTTGAATGAAAAATCAGCATGGGATACCCTTTCTTGGTTTGCTGTTCTAGTGGGGATGACTGGCCAGTTGACGAAACTTGGCATTGTGGGTTGGGTGTCTACTTGTGTGGCCAACTCTCTTCAGTCTTTCTCTCTGAGCTGGCCTGCTTCACTGTTTGTTCTTCTGGCATCTTATTTTTTCATCCACTACATTTTCGCAAGTCAGACCGGTCATATTTTGGCGTTTTACTCCGCATTTCTCGCTATGAACCGGGCAGCTGGTGTTCCTGCTGTGCTGGCAGCGCTTGCTCTGGGATATGTTGCTAGTCTTTTTGGTTCAATAACACATTATAGTAGCGGTCAGGCTGCTGTATATTATGGAGGTATGGCCCTCCCTTCAATCCTTGTTTGTTAAGTGTTCCTTTCAGCTATTCTACTCTTTAGCTTATGTTTGCTGGGTAATTGAGTTATAACCTCTTGGACGCATACTTATTGGGCCATGGCCCATAAAGGAGGATAAGCAAAAGAGCTCGGCATACAAAGAGGAAATGGGCAGTTGGTTAGTGACGTGTACACCACACACACAGACACAGAGAGAGAGAGAGAGAGAGGACGGGTTCAGGGAGGGTGGGGGTTAACCGAAAGATTCACTGAAATGTTGTATGGAGTGACCTAGCCACCTGAAAGAAAACCAACTTTGCCGAAAACCCTTAGATCTAGTGGGCACCATACCCCTCTTTCTAGAGGGAGGTCACAGGTTTAAACATGTGCTTGTGTGTGTGGGGCTTGTCTGCTGAATATCTGTGAGTGTGTCATTTGACTCCTGTAAAAAAAATTAAAAAAAAAAAAAACCCTTTTTTGGTCAAAAAGCAAAAGTACTGGTTTTAATCAGCTGCCAAAATTTGAATCTTCTAGGAGCCCATCTTCCCCTTACTCTGTGTTGATTCTGTTAACAACCTGCAACCATAAAACTGATGTTTTATTAATTCTCCATTCCCTTGACTCTAACATGCCAACTTTAGTCGTACAATTTTTTCCATTCTATATAACTGATCTTTTTATAAGAAAAAAAAAATCCTGGTATCTGATGATAATATAGTTTGTTTTTTGACAGCTGGTTATATAGACCTCCCTGATATAATCAAAATCGGGTTCATTATGGCTGTTTTTAATGCTATCATCTGGGGAGTTGTTGGCTCTTTGTGGTGGAAATTTTTGGGTTTGTATTGAATTTCCATTTCAATGTAAGTAATATCTTTTTCCTTTTTAAAATTGTTTCAATTGGCCATTCTTTTATGTTATCATTGCTTCAGTGCATACAGTCCAATAATATACGGATAATTATTTTAGTACAAATCCTAAATTGAAGATTTGAAACTGCTTTGATCTTCCTTTTTCTCCAAGGTTTTGTTAGGTATGAGAATATTCCCAAGCAGCAAAATATCACTTCAAACGAATCATTGAGTTTTAAATAATCTCAGTTTTAAATTTTATCTCTTCATTAGCAGTGTCATGTCTATAATAAAAAATGGATATCAAATCTTCACTCATGTGACTGGATTTCAGTTTCCATAAATTTATTCTCAAGCTCAAAAATTGACTAATAAATTTAGGTTATGCAAGTAATAAATTCGGAATTTTAAAGAAATAAATAACTTGTGAATCTTTACCTCTGCTAAGAAGTGCTTCCAAATGTTTCGTCTATCACATTTCATTTTACCTCAAGGAAAAGCCAACAAACAATATCTAAAAATCAAAAAGAGAGATGCATTGTACGATGAAAATTTAACTACTTTTTTCCAACATCACATGAAGAAAAATATATTTAGTCATGCATAAAAGTAAAACTTTAACAAATTTGTGAAAGTGTCCGATTAATTCTTATAAAATTTTCTAAAATTTATTTTCAAGTTTGAGAAAAATTATTAATTATAATTCACATGATTTTTTCCCAAATAAGATTGTTTTGGATGATATTGATTCTTGATTGCTAATCCTGATAACTTATGTAGTTATGTTCATCATTTTTTATAAAAAGAAATTAATAATTAAAATCATGAATTATAAATTTTTATCTCATTTCCCGGAATCTAATTTTTAAATAGATCCACTTAAACATTCAGAGAAGCAGTCTCACAGGTGAAATAGAAACTTTGTCAAACACATGAATCTTGAGATTTTCACTCTAGGGAGTTAAGAAATAATACATGTAAATGAATAATAAATAACACGTAATGTAGATACATTTTTTCTGCACAACCAAAAGGCATTATATGCTGTTTGTCGAAATTAACTATAATAATTTCATAGTTTTTGGAAAATCTCACAAGTGAAATAGAAACTTTGACGAAAGTGGGAATCAGCCAGTGAAAATTAATTACTTACGAAATAAAAACTCAAATTGAGACCCTAATGAATTGCAAAAGACATATTTATTTATTTTTTTACTCTTTTTTTTGGGTGGAAGACAAGCTACGAATTTTTATGACTCAACCCAAATTTGTCCGTTGTACACTAACAGTAGGCTTAATTTTTTTATTTACTTTTTATAAAGAAAGGTTTATTTTTATGTGAGTTATATTTTCCATATAAAAAAGGGGGTCGAATCCTAACTAAAATATTTTTTTAAATGATATAACATAATTTGTTTGAGTAAGACATTATCAAATCAATTTGAAACTTTGATTTTACATCAAATCCAAATTGATCAACATGAAAAATATAACCATGCAGATTACAGAAAAAGAAAAAGCAATTATTTACAATTTTTTATTATAAAAAGGAAAATTAATCCCCCAATCCTTATAATTTTACTCAGTTTTTAATTAGGTCCTTATGGTTTTTTTTCTTTTTATTACTTCCTTTTACTTCTCCACAACAATACGAAACCTTCTGATTTTTTTTTGGTCAAAAAATATATCATGGCAGGTTTAATGCATGCTGAATGCTGAGTCATAATCTAGTCATCACTCGCTCATTCTGAAACTAACAAAATTTGACCCAAAAGATTAACGGTTATAATAGAAGAAACTTTGGGGACTCAATAAAAAAACTGCATTAAAAATTGAGTAAAACTATAATGATTGGTCTTTATTGCACACTTATTTTTGCATTCGAAAATAAATCAGATTATGTAGGCAAAAAACAAAAAGAAAAAAGAAAATAAATCAGATTATGTTTAATCGAAATATAATTTATGAGATACTCCAAATGGATGATTTGTCAATTTGACATTATTATATTGGAGACAAGCAAGTACTCCAACGGCATAACTGATCCGAGTCTTTATCGGAATCTATATTTTTTAATTAATAAAATATCATATGAAAAAAATTTTACCCTTAATCATCATGAGTTAATCACAATTCAAAATGTAATCTGATATGATTTGTGACAATCGTTTTCTTAAAACCATTTTAAATTAAATCCAACAATTTATTTGGATGATTAACCATGATAAAAAAGAAAAAGCCTTAAAATTTTAAAATCGCTGTCATGGTTAAAAGAAATAAAATTATATTGCAAACAATATCGCTTGTTAACTTGGGCCTTGGACTTCCAAAGTCCAGAAATATCATTCAACTATTAGCTCAAACCAAACTTATACTTTCAAACATACAAACTGATAAATCATTTTAATATAAGTCATGGAGCCTATTAGTCATAAGTCAACACTATCAAAAAAGCCTAATACGCAAAGTCTTAAACATCTTTGGCCTTCCAACGACCCCCATATCAGATAGTAATAATTAAAAGTATTAGTTTACAGCATTAGAGTATATGGGCCTTATATGGTAATATATAACAAATCAGCACATAAAACAAAAGTCGAAAGGCTATACAAGTTATAACAGCACGCTATGCCTCCGGAGCCTTATCTGATGGGCCGCCACTTAAACTATCACCTGAAGATAGTAAAAACAACAGGGTGAGACAAATGCCTCAGTAACCCACTTTCCAACTCATCATATATACTAACACGTGTTCGTGAGATGTCAAGTGGGACAGTTAATAATTCTCGAGAAATATAAATATATCCATTGAAATATAATTTCAATCATCTAAACCCTCACTATGGGGGCTGATACACAAGCCACATAAGTTTATCCCTCATTATGGGGGATCAATCAGACATATAGACCTATCCCTTACTTTGAGGGACTAATAAGAAGCCACAAAGGCCTATCCTCACTATGGGGGACGAAGAAAGAAGCCAACCAATATACACTAATGGCGGCTTTACCACGTGGTAGGATAGAACTCAATCCAAAATTCAAATAACAACCAATCATTCACAATATAACAAAAATATCTCAATCTTTTCTCAGTATAATCCATAAGATATAAATCATATATCTTTTCAAACTTCCCCATCACAATTCCAAAAATCTCACAAGACAATTTTTATAGCTCAAAAGTTATAATATATTTACTCGAATTCCAAATAACAAATACTATTCTAAAATAGCAAAATACTCACAAACAACATATTACCACATATAATAATTGGAAAGTGGTTACCTCTCGCCAAAGCAATAAAAAAGATTACCACAAGGTCAATTCTTTACTCAACCAATAATTAATCTACACAATATATATAACCACATATTAATATAAGCTAATTAATTAATTAATTAAGCTTCTATATATTATTTAAATTTCTAAATATAAAATTATTATGTTCTAAATTCTAAAAATCTCCATTTAAGTTTAAACCTAAAAATCAAACTATCAAAAATTCAATAATATTTCAAATATTTATAAATAAATAATCTAATCAAAACTTTAATGATATAACTATCATATATATTTTCATCAATAATAAACTTTTTAGCTAAAATAATTATTTTAAAAACCTCTAGTCACCTAATAAATAAAACTAAACCGATTAAAATCTTAATAATATGTTAAACACCTCAAATAAATTATTCAACTTAATTTTAATCGATAAAATTTGATATAAATCATATATAACACATTTTTCAACTAGAAAAATCAATTTAAGCACTAAAAACCAACAAATAGACAAATCTAACCAATTAAAATTAATAACTCGTTTACCTCTAAATTTCCGTGATTATCTTTTACCAAAACTCTATATTTATATCATATATAAGTCTCAAAATTTTCTTTAAACACTATAGTAATACTGCCATTAGGGAATGTATTAAAAAAAATACTGCCATTAGGGAACCTAAAATATATAAGAAATATTCATAAAGAAAGTTTGATGAAGAGAACTATATTTGTGTACCTAGATGATCCTCAAAGCTTGTATTACCCTTCAAAATGCTTAATCTTCTCTGCTCCTCTCTCATTCTCTCTTTCTCTGATTCTTGTTCTCTCTCTTTCTCGTTTTCTCTCTTTCTCTTTGCATACACTTCGTCTTTTGCGTCTCCTCTCCTTTTTATCTCCCATCTTTCAACCACCCAGCACAAATTTTCTTCCTGCATTTAATTCTCTTTCCCCCAAAGTCTTCATTCCTCCCCCTAAAGTCTTCTTTCTGATCCAAATGCCTTTATTTTTTTCACGTCTCAATTTTCCATGCATCAACTTTCCACAAGTCAATTTTTCAACGGAAATGCGGAAAGTTGCTCCCTTTTTTTGGTATTAAAATATTATTATTTTATCTTTCTTTTTTTAAAAAAATTAAAATATTAGGATATTATAATAATATTTCTATTATGCATTATATGCGTTTTATATTTTTTTTTTATTATAGTTGATTTTTTCGTCATAACTCGCACATATATCATAACTTTATGCTATGAGTTGGAACCTGCAATCTTACATTAAGAGCACCTACAAAAACACACAATAAAAATATAGTTTGTGTTGTTTGCTTGAGAACACTATTGACTATTGTTAAGCTATTCTTAATCTAAGAGTTAGATAACTAATTTAATGAGATTAAAAAAATTAGTTGAGTTAGTTATTTGTAATAAATATGTATTGATTTCTTTCAATAATTTAATTATATGCATTAAAACTATATTTAAGTGGAAATACTTTATAATTAATAGGGATATTTTTTAGAACCGGAGATAATACTTCGGAACCCTTTAAAGTAAGATGTGGCACTTCCTAAAATTCAAGTTATTGCGAAAAGTGAGGTGACAAAACAATATAAATGTAAATCAGCATGGAAGAGAACCCAGAAACTCCAAGAGCTCAGTGCCCTCTAACCTTGGTGCACACCGTCCACACACCATATGCATTGTTTTTATATAGATAGAGAACATATCACCATTGATGATCCATAATGGTGATTAAAAATGACTTAATCACAATTAAATATGCGATTTCTAACTTTTCATATTGATGGCGGTTTATGGCAATTCAATGTGACTAATGAATAAACAAAACGTCATAAAGGTTC